CATAGTAGGATGATGGATGAAGTGATAAAGTTGGAGCGAGGACAAAATGAAAACAGAGGAGTCCATTTCTGGGAAGCAGTTTGCAAGCTGTAACTCAGAGAGAAGTCGGAGAAAATATCGGGGCAGATGTTTGTAATTTTTGACAACGCCTAATGATTTTAATAATCCCTCAAAGCAAAGGGGGAAAAACTCCAGAAATACTTCTTATGCGTGCAATTAGTCACCGAATCATGACCATCCCCGGACTTCGTTTATATCCAACCCCCTTCTCTTTTGCACTGTTTAGAGCTAATTGAGAGGTTAAAGGCTTGTCATGAAATGAAGGAGCAGCTCCACAGTCTGTCATCATTAATCATAGGGGCTGTCAGGCTTCACCAAGGACTCACTCAGACCAGCCAGGCAAGAGGAGCAATGCGGCACGAACGGGGCTTTTGTACAAGTTACAGCAGAACGTCTCCAAACACTGGATATAGTTTAATCGTTTTGAAAAAAACTGCTTCAGCTGCTCAAGAAATTGACGTGATTTGTGACGAATGAACAGAAAATCCTCTGGTTGATTGACCCTGAGCAGGGCATTTGGCTCAAGTTGAAGAAAATGGAGTTGAAAAACTGCATGAATGACAAGTTGACTAACACCTTTCCCAAAAAAAAAGAAAAAAAAAGCTTTAGGTAAAAGGCCAGAGAGCAAAGTTCTGTTACTGAAAGCAGAAACGCCGCGGCCCAGAGCTCCAAGAATCTGGAGAAATGATTAAACTGTTATCTTGGACTGGAGTCGTGACCATGAACTGTGAAACGCTGCGTGCTTTGGACGCTGGGAGCAAACTGAAACGCAAGGATTTGCATCGAGGTGGGAAGTAGATAAGTTCAAAGGCTGTGGAAAACAAAGCTCGGTCTTCAGCGAGATGTGTGGAGGCTTCCGCCATCCTCTATTTCCTCTTTATCAGCACAAAAGAAAAAAGAAATGGTGACGTTGAAGAATGTCTGAGGACGTAGAAAATACTGAGGCCTGAACTGAATCTGTGCAGCTAAGAGAGCAGAAAAGTTTCCATGCTGGGTTTAAAACTGGAACTCTGCAAAGTGGGGTGAAGATTTAAATAATCAGGTTGTCAGGTTGAACGGTTAAAGCAGAGATAAAAGTTCTTAAACCTAAAAAAGTGCCATCAATAGTGGCATTACGTAGCATCTTCATGCATTAAACAATTCATTTGTCTTCTAACTGATAGTTTTCCCGCTACAATTTTATATGTAATCTACTTGAGCAGCCAACCTTTTTTTCCCCACTTCATTTTAACAGCAACATCCTTCAACTTTTTTTAACATTTCCAATGCATTTGATGCATGTTACAATATTTTGCATCATTATGCATCTTTTAAATGTCAAGATAATCTTGGAGGATCATAAATAGGAAAGAAACATTTGGAACAGAGGATCCTTTGATGCATCCATCAGCATATAACAGAGACCTGAAAATGTAAGATAAGAGAAACTAAAGAGCTGTTTATGCAATGTAAAGTTATGTAACATCGCAAAGAAATAATGAACTGTTGGCAGGGATGAAAAAAAGTTACCAAAAGTGAACAAAACACACAAACTTTTCTTCTTATTTTTTAAAGATGTCAGTTCAGAAACAATTCCTGCTCATGTTTTTTAGTATGTTCTTAAAACAAATATGTTTAATACCATTTAAATCATGCCATGATGAGAAATGTATTTAGAATTCATTGGTTTTGAAACATCTGATGTTATTTTAAAAAAAGGATTTTGAAAATCCGGCACTTTTGGTCTATCAGAATACTGCTCTTAGAGTTTCTACCTCCTTTTCTAAAAACTAAAAGTATAACTGATCCACTCAAGTAAAGATCACTTGCGCAACATCTGTCTCCCAGTCACTGATTTGGAGCCAGATGTTGAGAAAGTGCTATAAATGCAAACGTTACCCAAAAAACATGAAGATACCCATTTAACTTTGCTCTTTGATTACAGTACCAAGGAAATAGTGACCGCATACGTTCTTAATATAAAAAAGTTTAATTTAAACTGGATATGATAATCACACAGTAAGAGAAAAAGTTTTTTTTTGGTTTGTTTTGGAATTTTGTAGCTCTGAACCAGAGTGACTAAAGTACAGACGAGTAAGAAAATTCCATCCCTATTCATCCTAGTGTGGTGGTTATTTTGAATGTTGAAAGTTTTTATCTGAACAAAAAATAATTAACAACATAGAATGTTTGACAAGTATTGCAATCGGTTAACTTTGCCCTACAACGCTCCTGCAGCCGGAAGAAGAGAGGCAGCGCCCTCCCCACAGAGTGGAAACCTTATTTCTGTCTCATCACCGGGAGATGAAGGGGGGTCTGAAATGCTGCGGTCTGATTCAAACCTCAGTCTTAATGGCCTGTTGACAAATGGCTGGGGGCACGTCCCGTTGCACAAATGTGTGGTTGAACTCGACTCTGACAAATCAAATGGTGCATTCGGTTCAGAAAATACTCTGAACCCACAAATGAGTCGACGCCTCCATCTTCTCATCGCTCAAATCTCCATCTCGTCTGGGGGGGGATTTTGAAGCCTGACATGTTCGTAATCATCTTTTAGTCTTCACTGCTGAAATTCAATGCCACGTCGGGGAGATAAGATGTCAAAGGATTATCCCTGTCATAAACACATGTTCCCTTTTGAGCTGCTCTCGTTTGCCACCAATAGGTGGCATCAAAATCCGGGTTCAGCTCTCCCCCTATTGTTCAGCCGACGCGGCCTTCTCCTGAACCCGGAGCAGCCGAACAACCTCCAAACATCCTCCACCGCAATCCCGGCTGAAACGGAGAGGATTGACACTTTGGGCCGTCAGCTGCCGAATCCTGTCCGAGAGCTAATAAACTAAGTGCATCTGTTCTCCGGGTCGTATTTTTTTGCAACCCGAGACCGTTGGAGTCGGCCCCCAGTGAGATGCTCTGCCCTCCGGCTGAACTCGGGCGGGCCATAACTGCGTCCCGGCCCGCGGAAACAGGAGCGCCGTCTCCGGTTACGGGCTTGTTTTGGGTCCCTCGGCAGAGCGGCGAGCGACCAGGCCGGTGTGGGTCACTCCGGGGGGTGTCGCAGTGTCTGGTTGCTAGGAAATGGCCTATTACGGCTGCCAGTCAAAGCAGGAGCCGCGGTAGCTTTAGCGTTCGGAGCGGGAAACAGGGCCCGGCGCTTATCAGGATCCCACGCCGGCGTGCGCATCACGCTCTGACAGGTCTGACTGTCACTCCGTATCTGAGAGCTTTAAATCTGGAGGCTTTCACTTCAAGGTGACACGGCAAAGCTCGGTGATGTGCTCGCCGCTGACAGCGCGGCACTCTTAAAGTCATCAATCATCAGATTCTTTTGTGGTAAAAATAGCTGCCTGCAAACATCCGGATCACTGTCAGAGCTTAGTTGACAAAAGTTTACATCTTCCCATCAGCACCTCGCTTGATTTCCCTTTGAAGACGGGGAGTTGGAAACTGGTTGAACTGGAGGGAAAAAATGTTTTGGACATGCTTGTTGAGGTACTTTCCAAACTCATTAAGGTCTGTCTGTGCAAACGGCCTTGCGGCTGATCAAGAAATACCACCTGTCAGTAAATCAGAGCGTGTTTGTGTGCGTTTCTGACAGTAACAATGTGGCGCTTCTCAACGGGCTGACCTCGGTGAACCCCAGGTAACTGATGAACAAAAACATTTCCACGTCCAAGTTTTTCTTGGCTGCCGCCGAACTCGTAAATCTGCACAGATGTGAGAGGCCTCGGCTCGGGCGGGTTTTTAGCCATGGCTGCACCAGAAAAAGGAAGACAACAGCGTACACATCCTCAGTGTGATTTTATTTAGCAAAATATGACCTCCCGCTTTTCACTGGACCCCACCGCAGGGTCTTCCAAATTTTACAAAAAAATATCACATCTTAGTTGTATCGATAGCTGTGAAAATAAAAACGGAAAAAAAAAAAACAAGAAGAAGAGAGAAACAATCGAAAAGCTGAGAGCGAGACGTGATTTGGACATTCGTTCGAGGAGAAGCGTTAAGACACATTTTAGCCGCCCGGCCCCCGACATGCCTGCTTGCGGGTCAGCAAAAAGGAGAATACATGGTAAACATCAAAGTCTGAGATCCTGTTTGAAATAAATACAACTTCTCAGTAGGAAGAAGCAAAAACAAAATAGATACAAACGACGTGGCAGTTTGGTCTGAACGCTGTCTGGGGCTTACATGCATCTCTCGTGGGGAGAAAAGCGACCGAGACCAATGGCGGCGGCTCGTAACCGTTTCTCATTTCGCGCTGCTGTTTTCCGAAGGGCAAAACCTTCCACGCCGACAGGCCTGTCCACCCGGAGGCCAGGGTCCCCGTACCGCGCAAAGAGCCAGAAGAAGACTTTTAGTAGTGTACTTATTGGCTTTCTGGCTGAGAGAAAACGGACACCTCGCTCAGGTTTTCCCGCCAAAACAAGCTAAAACCATTAGCCTAGCTTAGTTAGCACAGCACTGAGACCGGAAACAGGTAAAACGTCACCTGGGCTTTACAAAGGCAGCTAACCCAGAACCGGAAATCCATTAATCATTGTTGTTAATAACAATTTGGCCCAAAAAAAAAAAAAAAACAGCGAGTCATCCAATTAAATTGGCTAGTTTAATGGCTTTGGGTTTTTTTTTGTCAGCTTCTGTATTTGTTGTTCCCATCTAAACTGATCGCAAACAAATGACAAGTAAAAGCTTAAAACTGTGTTCACATTTGAGATGCGCTCTTGAAGTGCTGCTGGGTGCTTCTTTTTTTTTTCCACCTTTGTGTAGGCCATTAGGGTTAGCGCTTTTGCGAACGTTTCGGCTGTTTGTGCTAAACTAAGCTAACTAGCTGCAGCTCCCCCGTCTACGAGGGTTCGGTTTCAGGCCCTGCCGGAAAAAAAACAAACGGGGCAAAATTCCCCCCAAAAAACGTCGAGCCGTTCCTGAAAAAAACGCGAAAGTCCGTGTTTTTTTGTTTTTTTTCACTGGTATCCGAGAGCGGCGGCGGATCCGAGTCTTTGACTGTAGAGAGCGTAGTGGGGGTAGTACGGACCCGTGGCGGGCAGCGAGTGCAGGGAGATGGACGAGGGCCCCGAGGGGAGGTGGACCTTGCTGTAGGGGTGGTAGCGGGCCAAACCCAGGCCCGGGGGGGCTCTGAGGGACAGGGAGCCCGGCATGGAGCCCGGGCTGCCCTGGTGCGGCAGGTGCAGGTGGCAGGAGGCGGGTCCGGAGGAGGACCCGGAGAGGAGCTTGCTGTCCATCCCCACGGGCAGAGCAGTGTGGGTGCGCAGGTGGGCCAGGAGTTCGTCCGAGGTGGCGAAGCGCTTGTCGCACGGCCCCCCGGCCGACACCCAGTTGCAGGCGTGGGGCAGGGGGTCGTTGGGGAGCATGAAGCCGTACGTGTACAGGGGGTGGGAGAGGGAGGAGGACACGCTGGACGACAGGGAGCCCTGGTGGAGGGAGTGGAGCGGGTGGGAGGGGTAGACCAGCGGGAAGCCGGACTTGAGGCCGGAGGAGGGGTCGTGAATGCAGGAGTTGCAGTTGCTGCCCCCCAGGTGGGGGACGCTGGGGTAGCTCAGACAGTACGGGTCCCGGCACAGGCCCTGCATGAAGGAGGGCGGGGAGGCCCCCGTGAGGGGGCTGGAGCTGGGGTGCTTCCCTCCCATGCCCCCCACGCCCAGGCCGGGCTTCGACGGGTCCAGGCCCGGCACGAACTGGGACGGGTAGCCCCCGTAGCCCCCCATGACCGATCCGTGGTAGCCCATGTTGGAGGGGGGCAGGGGGAAGAGGGGCTGGGCCGACTTGTAGGGGGAGATGGGGGTGATGCGGCCGGGGCCCAGGCCCGCGGGGGCCGGCTCCGCCTTCCCCCCCTCGTGGGCGGAGCCCCCGTCCGAGCTGCCGTTGCTGCAGTTCGTGCTGGCCCGGACGTGGCTGGAGTTGGCGTGGTGGGGGCTCTCGGGCCGGGCCTTGCCCGCCTCGGCGTCCTTCTTGCCGCCGGCGGGGCTGGCGTGCTCGTGGGGGGGGTCCCCCCCGCCCCCGCCGCCGCCGCCGCCGGCCGCCGGGGGCTGCGAGGCGGGCCGCCCCCCCGGGGAGTGGCTGCGTCTGTGGAGCTGCTGGCCGTGGCCCGGGGGGCTGCCGCTGCTCCCCCGGGAGCCGGGGGAGGCGGCGTGGGGGGGGTAGGGCTGCTGGCTGCCGCCTGAACCTCCGCCGGTGGGGGCGCTGTTGCTGCTGGGTACCCGGAAGCCCGCTTTATCGGAGCTGGAGCCACCGCCGGGGGGGTTGGTGGTGCTGATTCCGTCCCTGCGACAGTCTCCGCTGCTTTTGTTGTAGGGCTTGAAGCTGGATTTGTCCTCCAGGGAGGGGCGGTGCTCCCCCAGCTTCAGGCCGGAGGCGGACGAGCGGCTGCCGGGCTCCTTTTCCCCCTGGCTGCAGGAGGAGCCCAACTTGGAGGAGGACGGGGGGTCGGGTTTACCGATCTGAGAGCAGGTCTGAGCCAGCAGGGCCAGGGGGCTCTTCTTGGCATCCAGCTACAACAAAAGTCAGAAATCCAAGTTATTTCATCATCTTACTGACGTACAAGCGACAGGAAATGAAAACAGCTTAAGTAATACACAACTGTCACCAGGCCTTAGATCTTAAGCTGTACTGGATTGGTAAATAAAGTTAGAAAACAGGAGGAGAAATGCCAAGATATAAGTCATTTGAAGCAAAACGGTAAACAAGCCCAATATTTTTGCAGTTCCTCATTGGGAAGACTCTTTTGTACAAACAAAGGACACATTTAAAGACTTCCCTGCTAGCTCTGGGACTTTGCGGAGTTCTATTTTAAGGTGAGGCACAAAGTACAGAGCTTCAGATCGGCTTCAGAAAAAAACCAGCTCTGAGGGTGTAAAAGCAGGCAAAATGAGCCGCACAGCCACTCCATTATCAGAGCAACTGTTCATTGATTTACCCAGTTCATGGACTATTTGCTTTTCAGATTCAATAAGCATTTAATCGCTGTGATTTCTTGTGCTGGTTATCTTGATTAAAACCCAGTGACCTGTTATGTCATTTGTGTAGTAGCAAAGCGAATCAGAGCAAATCAATCACACACTAAACTAAATCAAAACTGGATAAAACATTTTCTGTTTTTGCTTTATCTGAAGATTTGTCACTTTTAGGTGTAAAGAGTATTTGATCCTCCGCTGCTCCACCACTGGATTTAAATGTCTAAAATGGTGAGAAAGTCGGTAAATACCTCAATGCTCACTGGGGCGGAGGTAAGAGGCTGTAAATATTCCGGGTGTAGCAAGTGTCCGGTGTGCGCGGTCAACATCTTGATGACTCGGATGGGGAGCCGCTTCGCCTGCCGAAATGGGTCCAGAGGGGTCAGCGGAGAGACCGCGGCACCGGGACGACAATCTCTGGAGTCCTCACTGAGCTCGATCCGCTGACAAAGTCGTTCCGCAGGAGATCCTGAAGGAGGATATTTCATTTGAGATAAAGCGATGCGCGTTGGGGCTGTGCGTTAGTCCGGAGATGTGACGCGTAAAGGTAATCCAAACACCGCCGAGCGACCTTAGATGTCCCGGAGGACGGACAAGCCACTTGGTCCCCGGTGCGTTACTTGCTATGACACATCCTCATGTCCTACGGGGATCCTTTTTCCAATTTCAATCCATTCCCTCCCCCAGAGAAAAAGTCCACCAAAATGTCGCACAGTGTTCCGTCGATGCGTAAAAGCGGTTTGTAAAATCCGAGCGATCGTGAGGGAAACGATCCAGTGCTTGCTTCCAGTCCGGACTTCAGCAGCTCTCTGATCACGACTGGCGCACTTCAAAGTGCAGCAGCCGCTGTCTGTCCGCTGGGTGGCCGCATCCGTAATGAACGGGGAGGGGGGGGGAGGGGGGGGGGTTCGTGCGTAAAAGGCGGAGCGACGTCAGCGTACCAAAGACGATCCTCCTTTTTTTTTTACAGGAGGTCACAAGGTAAATCTGAGGAGTAAACATTTAGTTTTTCTTTCTAAAGAATGAAATGTTCAATTATTTGACCAAATTCATCTTTGGAAATCTTTCAAACGTCACTATTCTAATCTCATTCCATTTGCAGACTTTTTGGTTTTGTGGTAACAACAGTAACTGCAACAAAACTATCAATAGTATAAAAAGTGTGAACTATAAAAACTACAGGCCCTTTGAAAAATACAGAGGGGTGAAACTGGTAAGGCCCTGTATTGTAAACTATGTCTTCATCTCATTTACTGTGCAACTGGAAAACAGATCCCTTTAATTTTGCACCAGCGAGCCAAATTAATCTCGAACTAAACCTATTAAAATATGCTTTACGCAGCTGAACACATTTGGTGTATTCCTAAAAGTGAAACATCATACGCTTTAAAATTCCAAACAGATGCTTTGCATTAACTTTGAGCCAAAATTGTACCCTGTTGGGTCGACTTAATCACAACGTGCAAGAAACATAAAGTCAAAACTGGTTTGTGTTTGTCCAAGAGCCTGTCAACCATGATTAAGAGAAGAGATCTGACTTCATAAGAGCCTGTGGCTTCAATAAAAACAGCCTCGTCGAGAACACAAAGCTAACCGTCTTGGGACTTGAAAAACCATGAGCAATGGATCATAACGTTGTGTGTATCAGTGATTTGACATGTGACTGCGCTGTGTTTCAATCAAACCACACAATCAAAAATCTATTTGGAAACCTAAACTTCTTCAAATGTCTCTTGGAATCCTAGAGTTTCAACTTTATGCACCCCAGATCAAAGAAAAGGCAGTGACTCGCAGCAGTCCTATGAGCGCTCTGGGATGTGGTGTTTGAGCCCCTTAAACCTAAAATGCTCCTTTGTGAAAGCAGCGGTGCGAAGAACAAAGCGAGCAGTGGAAATAAGTCAAATGAGTCATCTTTCAGCGCTTTGGGCAAGCAGATGAGTGCATGACGTGCAAACACCAAACATTTTTACAGGTCCGGACGCCTGTGTCAAAGTTCAGAGCATCACTTTAGCAAGCAGTGTGAGAACCGGGTTCCAGTTCTGGTCGTCAAACGCGGTTTAGTCTGATTTAGGAAGTCAGTGGGTATGTCAGGCCAAGTTGTGGTTGCACACAACTGGAACAGTGTTGCACTTTCTTTCTAAAGCAGCGCGTGGTGTTAAAGGTTTATTCTGTCCTGTTGACTGGGCTGTCATAAGTTAGACAACACATTTTTTACCCCGATAACAGAACAGATCAGTTCAGATAGATTCTCAGTTCACTTCAACTCCGCTTAGTCTCAATTCATGGACCTCTAGAGGGAAATAAACCAGCTTCATATTTCATTTTTATTATCATTATTAAAGACACAGTCATCTGTGGTGTCAAATCAGGCAGCACATTTTGGATCAGATACCCATATGTATCGTGGGGTGACCTATTGTTTTTAATTAAGTATATTCCCACAAACACGAGTGCAATTTCTGGCACAGAATGTTTTTCGTTTTCACTGTTATAGTCAGAACAAACAGTAGTGAAATGATGCACACAGGACAGGTGACATATTTTCAACATGCTTATCTTAAAACGCCCCTGGCATGTTCCTGTTTACAAGTTGCCCCACTCTGAGTCATATTAATGCTTTCTTTCCTTTCTATTTGCTCCTCCCATTTTACTCAAACTAATTCCACTTTTAAGTTTGACATTTTGATGTGACACATCATTTGTCTTCTGGCTTTGAACTAATTTTGGCACGCAAAAAGAAATCAATAAAGTATACAGAACCAGTCACAGAGGAGCCTAATTTCTTTTATTAATTTATGCCATTTTTACCAGTGAAGAAAAATGTGATAAAGACAGATCACCTCCATATTAATGGTTACATAAATCTGGAATGTTAATAACTTTATTGCATTACCGCCTGCTGACTGACTTCGCAATGAGCTAATTTTGCTAACCTAATTATACAATGAATTGGTTAAAGTACTTAAAAATTACGGCTGACAAGAACTATTAGCAACAGCCAGAAATAGTCTGAGTCTGAGGGGCTTTGATTCTCTGAATCCTTTGCAGCCTCAATTGAGTGCAAAATCATTCCTAATCCGTCATAACCTGTGGGCAAAAGGCTGCATAATGTGAATTAGCTCAGGGATATTTGTACATGTCTTGCATGGCCCTCCTTAATCTTCAAAAGCAATGATTCCCATGTAAATATAAAGAGGGCATGATGAATTCAACTCAGGATTCTGACAAAAACACGTTTATTTAGAGAATTTCTTTTTACGCCTCGTGCAGTCCTTCTTGATAATGTAAAAATTTGCTTAAAAAAATTAGAGGTCAGCGAAAAAATAACTTCAGGTCAGAGTAAATGGTACTCTGACCTCATGCCCCGGACAGCAGAACAGCCACTTACAGCCATCCGTCAATGTCACGTCTGTGATAAGCAGCAGAGAAGCGGGAGCTCCATCTAATCAGGAAACAAGGTCACAGTCTGCAGCTCTGCAGACAGAAACAAACAGAAACCTGATGCTCTGATGGTACTGGATGTCAAAAGACTCATAAGAATTACACAAATACGAGTCTGCTTACACTTTCTGCCCGTTTGGGAAGTTGGGTGCGCGTGCTTTCCGATGAGTTATTGTGAGGTCTGTGGGAGGAGAAATGAAAGACAGAAGGGGGAAAGCAGATGAGAAACCAAAGGAGGTCAAATAACAAAGAAAGAGGTCACAATGAACAATAGAGCTCTTGTCTTTTTAGTTCTCATGACTCGCCTTGAAGTTGGTCATTAACAAGCAGTGGCAAAGTGGCTGTGAGTGATCACTGCTTCCTGTTGTTGCTTAATTTGTGACAGGTTTCCTTTTGTTCTCTTATCTAAAAACGCTTAATCAAAGCAGCTCCGCGCAGCAAAACAATGGGGCCAAGCCCAGCAGTTGTACTGAGCTCACTCTAAAGACTCCCAGTTCGCCCGGCGCGTAATATTCGTTGTTTGCACAGCGCCGAAAGGGACAGGCAGATGGAATCGCGCGTTTATTTCTGCCTTTGATGTGGCATTTCTCTGAGTTTTTCAAACAAAGGCAGACATTTATGGACCTATAACTGCCAGACCTGCCCATCCTGTGTTTTTTGTACTTTATTCCAAAATGGAACAAACCTGTGAAGGTGCTCCAAACGCACATCTGAATAGTAAAAGTTAGCTTTCTGAAGCTCTGATTTCTCCTTGTCGCTAACTCTCTGAAACACAGGGGATGGTCCACAATGCTGAGACACACTCTTCATACCAAGGAAAACAATCTGAACCACACTTGCTTGCAAATACATTCAAAATGAGCGCATTAGACAGACGTTTTGAATATGTCCCTCATCAAGCTAATGCCGGGATTTGTTTAATGATCACGTCCGCTCACCTGTTGGGAGACTCGTCCTTCAAAAAACCAAAGTCTGAGCCGCTCTTTAACTCAGGCAGGCACAGATGCATTTTGCATGTCCTGTGGGTGGACGGATCCTGAGAGATCCGGCTGCCAGAGGACGCCAGCCTGGAATCAGGCCGCACCGTGCCGCTGAGTGAAATTTCATCTGACATCAAAGACATTTCTTTCACACCCCTCCAGATTTGGCTGTTTGGCGCAGGATCCATTCCAAAGACAGAGAGCTGCCTGCTGGCTACTGTACGCTGAAATGAAAAAGGTTGGAGCAAGAAAGACGAATTCCCCCCCCCAAAAAAACATGATTTACACTCTTTCAATGCAGCTTTTTTGATAACAGTAAAATGTGGCCACTCAGACAGTGTGCGGTCATTAAATCAATCCCTGCATTACCCACAGCAAAGACCGGGTTTTCACACGTTTTCACAGGCTTTTCTGGATTTTCAGCCTTTCACCTCGATGTCAGATGAGACGGATGGCATCAAAATGTATTTTTGCTGTCAACTTGCAGGTGACATTTCATCATTAGTGTCAATTCTTCAACCTGCTGGAAGTACTTTCAATGGCAAAATGTACCTGCACCACCCAGGGAAAGGCCTCTTGATTCAAAAAGCATATTTCTGCTTTCTTTGCAAGGGAATTTATTCCATACAATATAGCATACAGGAAGCAAATTCCTTTGCAAGGACTGAGCTGTGGTATCTTAAGAGGACATAGGACTCCTACGGCCCTTTTTATTATCATCCATTTAGTCCAGAGCTTATGTAATCAAATGTGATTGATCTTTGACTTTTATTTGTGGCAATAAGACTCTGTCAGCTGGTAGTTTGTAAAACTGACATTGACAGTAGTAGGATCATTATATAAGAGAGCAAACTAGCTTGAATTTGGGGAAATGGTCGTTTGCTATGGCAGGAAACGGTTCCTGACATGTCAATGGTTTGAATTGAACTTAGCTGTTTGTTTCTGATCTGCAGTTAATCTAATCTTAGATATTACATTAAACTAATCAAAGAAAACTTTTGTCTTTTTTCTTGGTTTTTGAGTGCAAATCTTTTAAAGCTGAAAGTTAAGGATGAACCCAAACTCAA